ATTTAGCTATTTAGTCTAAACATTTAAGTTTTTGTGTTATAGTTTGTGTTCATTCTAGAATGAAATTATTTCTCAATTTTTATGGTGGTTATGAGATCAGTCAACTTTTCTGAACCTGTACAGAGATTCATCACTGAAAATAACACATAAAATATAAAGTTTCTCTTAAGAAACGTTTGATAACTATCTTGACATTATAGAGATTTCACATGTGAAATTTGAAAATTACTTTGCATGTTAGATAGTCAACATTCAAAAAGAAAAAAGGCATGTGAAAAACATTGCTTTACAAACTTTAAGACTTAATAAAAAAATTATATTTTGCATATAAAAGCTTTGTAATGCTTACTGATAATGTACCAAATTTCATTAACATTCAATTATTAACTTAAAAGTTATAGCATGAAACTATAACAAGTACAAAATGGTTACAAGATCGGTCCCAGGGACAGAGCCAGTACTGAAAGGGTTAAAGTGGTAGGCAATATACATTGCGAGTTACAGCAATTCACTTTATATGTATTGTAGGCATATAAAAGTATAACACTGAATTTTTGTTTGTGCCTATTTTCTTTTGGCTCTTACATTGCTACCTGGATTGTGATACAATTTTTACCCATTATCCCTTTTCTTTAGGTCACATAATGTAAACTGATTTAAATACAGTATGGTATTCTTGGTGTCTTGACTTGTTCATATACATATACCACCCATTCTGCCTTAATGTCCTAGAAAAAGCTTTTACTCCTTTCTGATTAGGCTAAGTTTTGTGTTATGATGGCTTTTGCTGCTACCTCAGGTACATAAAGATTTGTTGTCAGAGTTTTGACTGTTGATTGATATTATTAATTTAGATTTACTCAGACAATCTGCATGTTACAAAGTGTGCAGTAAGGATATTGTTATATTCTTCTTGCTGGAAACCTGTATTGAATCAGTATAGAAATATTTGTTCAAAATTATTATTAGTCTTATTGTGTCAGAACATGTCACACGAACCACCAACCAATATATGTTACAGACATTGTTGTTTTCCATTTTTGATTAGTTGTTTAATGGGGATTTTTTAATTGATTTCACAAGTTAGTTTCAATCATCAAAAAAGCATTATTTAGAAGGCAAGTGATAGATCTCTATTGAGAAACTGAATGGAAAGATTGGTATAATCTGACTCAAGATATGTGTAAAAAAAAAAAGAACAGTTGGTGGCCTGATGTAAAGTGTTCCAAATTATACAGTATGTGTATGGTTAAAGGTAAACAATATTTACCATGCAACTCAGAGTGTCTCCATGGTATTCAGGTATCCACTAAATACAGATACCAGAAATATTTGGTTTATTCTCTCTTAAACATGGAAATCATAGAACAGAATAAATAAACAGTCTATTTACAGTGAAAATAATGTGTGAAGTATTTCTTTGCATTATTGCTATATTCAGTTTTGAATAAAATAATGTGATACTGTGTTTTTCACTCCCAAAGTAATTTCTTATGCAGGCATATCACGAAGTTCACGTGGAAGCTTATGGCAATTCTACAGTGCAGTTATGCACGTGTGTTTATATTTTTTGCTTCGTTGCCTGTTTTTGACAACATCTTGGGTGAGATAGGAGTGTATGTGCTCTAGTGTTGAAGATACAACTCACACCTAATACCCTAAATATATTGGTACGTGAAAGATGTCAAAACAAAAACGAAGAGTTTGATTACTTTGGGAAAAACCTAGCAGTTAAAAGTTAGACAATTCTGCACAGTTTTGGATGAGCTTTATTACATATCTGTAATTATATTTATTCAATTAGTCATAAAAAAAATACTATAAAGTTATTTTATATAATGTATTCATTTGTTATAAAACAAAATATACATTATTAATTATGTGTAAATACAGTTTTGATAGGCAATATCTCCAAGAGACTGGTACATACCACCAGTAACAGTTAAGGAAAACATATTATACATTGCCATCCATAGTTTGCTTGATATCGGTAATTTGGAGATAAATTTTGTTTAAAAAAAAAAGTCAAGTTACTGAAATATAGAATTTTTCATTTCCAGTAGCAACTAACATGGTAATATTTATAGGCACAGTTGAACTTGTGCCAGTGAATACATCTTGCTTACCTAATAATCTATAATTTAATGCATTACATATGTACAGAAGCTCCAAATTGCATGGTGAAAAATAGAGAAAGTAATGGGATTATCTTGTATGTACGGAATACTAGATATCTGAGTAATATATTAGGAAAATTTAGTGTTTGTCAAGCAACAGACAAGATGGAATACAGATTGTAGTTAAAGATGAGCGTGTCCAGCTTGACAGAATAGTTTTGTTTTGAAACTATGGACTTTCACACTTCAGTATACTCTTGAGATGGCCCGGCATGGCCAGGTGGTTAGGGTGCTCGACTCGCAATCTGTGGGTCGCGG